AATGAGATCTTTTTATCTGAGAACAAAATAGTTTTCCATGGGTTTTGTCTTCTATGAACATCAAAATTAGGGTTTCGTCCATGTAATTAATGAATAAAAAGTACATAAAGCGGATTTACCTTGACTAATGTTATCATGTCTAATATTTCAATTGAGGATCTATAAATCGCGAATTTTGTAGATTTTTCTTACTTCCATGTGGTTGGGCTTCAGACCGGCTATTCTTAGTGTATAACTTTTGACTTGTGGGTAAAGTAGTATAATTTGCAGCGCGGGCAGATTAATGAGTGGATTGAGATGTTGTATGGCGTTGGATGATGTAGAATGGAGAACTGGAAACCTCTTCCAGTGCAGTTAATGTTGGATAATCTCATTGGTTTGATTTTTCTGCTATAAATACCTAGCATTAAAGAATGATATTTAGTATATTTTTCTAACTTATGTTAGGATTTAGAACTGGAGTGAAATTGAGTTAAATTTTGGATAGTTTTTTTACTAGTAGGACTAGTTGTTCAACCTTTGGTACTAAGCTTAAAATGGTGTTAGAATTTGCTTAAGTTCTAACGAATGAATAGCTTTTGTTTGAGTGAACTGAAACAAACTGAAGTTATACTAAGTAGTGCAGTTACCAAGAGGAAGTGTATATTACGGTGGCTGGTGTAACAATTTGAGCTGAGGTTTTGTAAGTACCTAAAAGTAAAGGACAATTTGTGTAAATTTTTGGAAAGTTCAAGTGGTTACTTTTATTAGGATTTACAATTAAGGTTAATTTGCGTCTAATTTCTTAATAGGTTTTGACTAGCAGATATGGTTGTTCAATCTAAAATGAACGTACGACAATTAAAATTTGGAAGATGCGGGTGAATGGATAAGTATCTGCTAAAAATTGAAATGAAATGGACCTGTGAAGAGTGTCATGGATTTAGATAACTAATATAGTGGATCCGAACTATTTAGGATTAAGCATAGTTGATTGTTTTGGTGAATGAACTAGGATATTTGTTTGATAGTTCTGGAGACTTGCTCAAGCTACAATTAGGCCTGTGTGCAAATATTTTCCTACATTTAACCTTTGATTCAATCTAAAATTGTGTAAGACATTGCTCTACCTTCCAATTAGGCCAACTATTTCATTTGTGTTAAGAATTTTCTAATGGATGTGTTTCTTGTTTACACTATGTAATCAACTTTTCTTGGCAAGATGCTCAACGATGGTTTAAGGGGGGGGGAGGTTCTCACCTCTCATTCGTGAAACCAACTCAAGATACTTGTATAACTGGTATTTTTTGTCAACACAAATTTTGGGTTGTCATCAAAATTCTTAATATCGCCCTTAGGGTCGTTTGATACAAGATATAAGGATAATAATCCCGTGATAGAATTTGAGATTGTATTTATCATATGTTTGGTTATAAATATTAGTTAATCCGGGATAAGGTTTACACTAAATTGGTGGGATTAGCTACCCCATATGGAAGACGGGATAGCTAATTCTACCATTGTACCAAAGCACGCCTTAGTGAATTATTTTTTCAATAGTCACCTTTCAAAAGGTTGGTTTCAAAAATATTGTTTAAGCCCTTTTAAACTTAAGCAAATTTGGTTAGCTTTTTGCTATGTAGTGACAATCTTTTTGAAGCAAAAGCTTTTCCTCATTTTGTTTATCGCACTTTTCTTGTATTTTCGACAAGAGAGGTTGCTCTGATGGTAAGCAACCTCCACTTCCAACTAAGAGGTTGTGAGTTCGAGTCACCCCAAGAGCAAGGTGGGAAATTCTTGGAGGGAAGGATGTCGAGGGTCTATTGGAAACAGCCTCTCTACCTCATGGTAGGGGTAAGGTCTGCGTACACACTACCCTCTCCAGACCCTACTAGTGGGATTATACTGGGTTGTTGATGTTGTTGTTGTTACTTTTCTTGTATTTTCAGTGGTTGGTCATTTAAGGTCTGCTTAGTAATTTGTACCTTGGTAAAGTACATGCTTTTTTAAGCTCTTGCACGTGGGTTGGGTATTATAATATTTTTCAAGTTGTACTTTCTAATAGAAGCAATTGTGCAACTTCTTCCTATAGTTTTAGGGGCGAGATTGGGTGAAGAATTGGTTCACTTAGTGCATTACATGATCATCATTTAGGATTCATGTTTTTGTGAACACAAAATTATTATTTTGAGTGCTAAGCTTGTACCTATTTACTGCAATAGGAAAAAGTGACTAATCTTAGCATGATTGAAGATCCTTATTGTTCATTATCGTTGTCATGTTGTATTGGTCGTCTCTTGCCGTTCAAATCTAAAATTTTTATCGTGCTGCTCTAGAGCTCCAGAGGGATAGGGAAAGAGTCAAATCAGAAAGGAAGAAAGAGAAGAAAAAGGAAAAGATGGAGGGGAAGATAGATAAGAAGGAAAAGACAAAGCATAAATCAAGTTATTGTTGATACACGAGGTTGATTTTTGAAGAAGATAATAGGAATTAAAAATCAGGTACTTGCAGAAAGATGTAAAGTATGAATTTGAGCTGTTGGAGAACAACAATCTCTACGAGGAATATGGCCAGCATGTCTGCTCACAAAAATCAAGTTGCTCATCTGAAAATACCCATAATAACAATAAAAGAAAAAGATTTATCTCACTTTCAAGTGGCGTTAATGCGAGAATTGGGTTCTTTTTTTAACAAGTGATGTATTGGTTCTTTAGGTGTGCTTGATGATGCTTGCTTCTGGATCTTACTTTGTATTTCTTTGCTTGACAAATATGTACCTTTATCCGCATTCGATTGTCCTCACAAAAATATGGACAATGTGACAAATCTACCAAAGAAGATTGTTTTACAAAATTAAATCTGCCAAAATAAGAGGCGAAAGTTTCTATCTGCACTTCTGCAGAAAGAGCCTTTCCCTTGTCGAAAATTAATAATCAATTATTTCTTTTCATGTCATTTTCAGAGCAGTGTACATCATCATTTGGGCAGACAAAACATATTATAGAAGACAAGACAATAACTCTCACGTGCTCCAAATTGCATGAGAATGAAATAGAACTAGAGTACAAGAATTTGATTGCAAATTGCGTCCCAACAAATCTTAAATTATGATATTGACGATTAACATTGGATGTTCCAGAGAAAGCATAAGTGCATGAGAGTGAAGGAAAAAGGTGAAATCATCAACAACATGTCTTGTGGCACCTTTGCATTATTGCCACGTGCGCAATACCTTGGTGATGCTGAACTATATGCATTTCTCTTAACAATTCCGTTTTGAGTTGTTTAAAATGGAATCATATCTTAATTCAGGATCTCCCTACTTTATACGTAGAAGGAGTTATTGTCTTCATTCTAATCGGTTTAAAGACAAAAGTCACAAAATAATAAAAGGTTTACTTTCATTGGTACTTTTTCCCTACATGTGTATTTGAGCGAGAGCGTCCGCTAGCTTCCTAAACCGAATTTTTTATGAGGTAAAGGCCCGACTGAATAAAGCAAGAGGAAATAGGTATAAGTTGGATCAGTAGAAGAGTAAATTTGAGCTAAATCCCTCTAGAAGCACCTATAAATTGAATTGAGATTCAGGCACATTGAGGAATCGCATTCTTTTGATTTTTCTCAATCAACAACACCATGAATCTTTGTGCTGGTCTATCTTAATTGGAGCAATTTTATTGAATATTTTTTGTGGATGAAGTTTTTTTTTTCTTTCCCTCTCTTTAGAGGAAAGCAAAGTATGCTCTTGATGAATGGATCACATGTTGCTTTACCCATATGCAAGAGACTTTAATCGGTCTATTACTAAGTAGTTTTCAAATTATTGTTTAACTTTATAATTATCATCATTTGTACTCTCAATGTAGCAAAGATCTCCGAGAGCTCAATTGTCGCAAATGATTGCCAAACTTAGGAACTTGAGCCCCTCTAAAATAACCAAAATTGACTTACTTGATAGTTTTCGAGTTATTATCTTGACAATATTTTGCACAAGAAAGATCACAATAATAATTATGCTACTAGCTTACTTCAAATTTAGTGTGTTAAACTCCTAGTTTGCTAAAAGACAATATATCTACTAACTGGTTATAAATATTGGAAATAAAGTGGAAATATATAGAATAAAATGGATATAAAAGATTCACTATCATTATACAACCAAGATTCATAGTTATTACTCTTGCACCGTCTAATATTTCATTTTCAAATGCACATCTAGTTTTATTTTATGTGTATTAGTTTGATTGGACATAAAGTTTAAGAATATAGGAAAACGTTTAAATCTTGCGGTTTTTAGCTAATGGTGTGTATAATATATAAAAAATGACTCTTTGAATCGTGTGATTTTAAAATGCCACGTTATTCATATAAAGGAATATCATTGAGAATAATAAGAATATTGGAATTAAAAACTTAATAATACGAAAGGTTTGACAATTTTTTTGAAACATGCTCAAAAGGAAGTAGACACATAAACTAAAATGACAAGGGAGATACACTATATTATTAGGAGAATTGAACAATTGTTCTATACCATCACGGGAATTAAGCTGATTTTTCTTTAAGTATAATTTTTTCCAACCATTTTAGTATGCCTTTTACGTTGTAATATTTGCAAGTTTTATGTAATTAAAAAAATAAAATAATCCCTTATAATCAATACAATTTGAATAAACAAAATTGATTCTATAAAACATCTCTTTATTAGATGGGGTATTTTGATTCGGCAAGTTTAAGAAAAAAAGAATTTTTTTGAAATTTGTGGTCATAAAAGCTTAAAGGTAAAAACTTTGTAGAGCCATGATATTTGCGTGATTATAAAAACTTCTCATTAAAGGTAAAATGAGTTAAATAAAAAATTTAAAGTTAAATTATTTTTAATTATAGGAATATATCATTATTAATGTGTCATTTTATGTCACATTTGTGATGATCTATCGAACCGATCTTCCCATTCAAATATATTTCCAAAAATAAAATAATATTAGACACCAATAAGTATACGGTTTTGGAAGGCACCCGGGTCGATGAGTTGCCAGGTAAACAAATTCACGTTGTCACACAAAACTGAATCAATTTGAAACTGAACACAAATAACAAACAACAAAGAAGAAGAGAAAAAGAGCAAAATGATAGCAACCGAAGGAATCGAAGACGAAGAGAAATGGCTAGCGGAAGGCATCGCCGCTATTCAACACAACGCATTTTACATGTCTCGTGCTTTGGTAAAATTTTCATTTTGTTTCCTCTAAAAATTTAATCCAAAACCCTAAACTTCTCAAAATTGACAAATTAACACTCTGATTTTCCTTCAGGATTCGAATAATCTTCGAGAAGCATTGAAGTATTCTGCTTTACTATTATCTGAGCTTCGGACTTCGAAACTTTCGCCGCACAAATACTACGAGCTCTGTAAATTTCTAGTCAACACATCTTTTTTGATGGACTTTTTTCTTTTCAATTTGTTTGGCAGTTTTTGCTTAGGAAAAGTCAATTTGACTAATTTCGAGCTAAATGTGATTCATATTAATTCATTTTTACTGAATTAATTCAGTTTCGAGCTACATCTCTTCATTTTAACATGTTTGGCATTTGCTTATGGAGAGTAAATTTTACTAGTTTTCTAGCTTAATCTGACGTAATTTAGTTTTTTAAAGTTATATTTTAGATATGTGCAGCTAAATTGGACTAAGTTAAATCATTTAAAAAAAATAAAAATTTAACATTATTAAAAAAAAAAATACTACACGAAATGTACTGTAAGTTGCAGTTTTTTCTTATGGAAAGTCAAATTGACCAACTGCCGAGCTAAATCAGATCATACTAATTCATTTTTTTAACCGATTTTATAAACTTGTACTCTCTTTATTCTAATTTGTTTGGCAGTTTTGCTTATGGAGAGCCAATTTTACTAACTTTCTAGCTAAATCAGACTATATTAATTCAGTTTTTGTAAATCAAATTTTAGATATTTGTAGCTAAATCGGACTTAGTTAATTCATTTCAAAAACAATTTAAATTTAAATATTTGGAAAGTACACGAAAAGTACTATAAGTTGCATATTTCACTTAAGAAAGTTAACTTGACTAACTTAGGTTACTGGACTAGATTAGTTCAATTCTATTAAAAATAAATAAAAACTTAGATATTTTGGAACTATAAGAAGAGTTACTTAAGTTGCAATTCTCCTCATATCAAAATGGTGATTTTTTTAAAAAAAAGATGTTGGTTAGTTTACGCAGTTTGAATGTTGGAAAATAAAAATTGTCAAACATCTTGGATCAGAGAAAGTCTATGTTCGTTACTTCATGTTTGTTCTCTGGCTTTGTGCTCTTTGTGGTAGATATGCGAGCTTTTGATGAATTGAGGAAGCTGGAGATGTTCTTCAGAGAAGAAGATAGACATGGTTGTTCAGTTATTGACTTATATGAACTCGTTCAACATGCTGGAAATATATTGCCTCGGTTGTAAGTCTCAGATGAAATTTTCAGTGTTAAATTCTCAGTTGCTAGGTTTTGCTGTGTGCTAATTGGCTACTTATATTGTTCCATAGTATCTTAGAATCAAACGAACATAGTTAAGAAGTAAACTTGGTTATCCAAATATGATTTTTTATGCTCAACTTGAAATTTAATATTGTGAAATAAATTTGATGTCATTCTCCTTTTATGTGCGTTCTCTTTATTGTTGTATTTAGTGTTATTGAGAATGTTCAGTTTCTTATAGAGTTGATGATCTCTGACTATGCATGGGGCAGTGGCAGACTTTAGGATGTGACGCCAGTGGATACATCTGTCTTTAACATAAGATCTGCCGCAGAGTTTTAGTAGGAGTATCGTGTGCATTCAGTCAGTACGGGCACCTTTTTGGTTCGTAGATAGATTAACCAATCACCAAACAAAAAAAGCTAGGTCGGTTCTGATATTTTAATTAGGATAAAAAATATTTTACAATCACCTACAAAAAACAAACAGAAAGAAGAAACACTTACCAGAGAAGCCAGAGAATTTTCCAGAGAGAGATGTTTTGAGGCAACACACTTAAGCACCTTTAGTTCCCATGAAAGAGAATCTTTCATGCTAGTCGAAAAAACTGAACCTATTGTATTCACAGATCATACAGAAGCACGGGCTCGAGAGAACCACTTTCATGAACTTCTAGCGAAACTAACATATGTTGATGCCACCAAACATATAAATATCAAGCATTTCAGAGTAATCTTAAGAGGTGCTGATGCACTTACCATATTGATTAACTTCTAAAACAAAAACATGGTACGGTATTCAGCTTAACCTAATACATGTCCAAACTCAAGTAATTGGGGATGGAAAGTTTAAAACCATACAGATAATTTTGATTCCCTCTTCAACAATTGTCATTCTTCCCCATTTTCTATTAAATGATTTTCCGTTTTCATTCTAGTCTTTTGATTAACCAATCGGTACTTTTCTCTTTGCAATTTGCTTTACATATGAAGTTAGATTACCCAACCTATTGATGACCAAGTATTTTTTGTAGAGCATCATGTTTTGATGTAGATTATCTACTTTTGGTGTACTTCTTGTATATGGGATTTTTTTCCCCAATAAAAAGGGCAACCGGTGCACTAAGCTCCCGCTATGCGCAGGGTTCGGGGAAGGGCCGGACCACAAGGGTCTATTGTACGTAACCTTACCCTGCATTTCTGCAAGAGACTGTTTCCACCGCTCGAACCCAATATCAATAAAATTGTTTACCTTTTCAAAAAAAAAAATTACCAGTCAACAGTTTTTCATTTCCTTTTTCTTTATTCCTCAAGAGTATATACAACCACTGGTTTGCACGTAAGAAGCTGATTAAAGGACTATGAAAGAGTAAATAGACACTTTTTTTTTTAACTAATAGCAATTCTCAATGCTTAAAAAGTGGAACATGTGTTCTTTAGCAAAACTTGCAAATAATACTAACAATAGAAGAATGCAAAACTTCACAAGCAAAAGGCTAATTTAAAAGCAAAATCATTTGTGTTATCATAGATGCAAAAAGAAACAAAAACACAAAATTAAGCAATAAAACCCTAAATCACCTATTTAATAAATTAGAAGAAATAATTGTATTCTAACCTGATGTTGATGAAGAATAGTTGGTGCGAGTGTCTAAGAAGGAAAAACTCAGAAAAATGAAATAAGAGAGAAGAGAGAAAGGTGAGCAGCAAAGAAGGGAGAGCCTTAGATTGATCTGATCTGAGAGGAGAGCTGGAGACCTTATCTGATCTGAGTTGGAGAGGTGATAGCTAAGGCAGGGTTTTCTTGGAATCTGATCCGAAGGAGTGGAATTGATAACTTTATATGAAACCATTTACATTTTAGAAAATGTCCCATTGATACAGGGCAGTGGGAATATGTTATATAAAGAGCAGCCCGGTGCACGAAGCATCCCGCGTTCACACAAGGTCCTTATGAATTGAATACTCCTTATGAACCATTTTCAGTCCTCGACATGTCCTTTTGATACAGGGCAGTGGGTATATTAAGGTTATGTAGCTACCAAGAATTTTCCCAAACACCATTATTTTAATTCTGAAATTCCAAGTGAAGGCAATGCTCACATCACCCAGTTTTTAATGAGGTCACCCCTGACATCTAGGTAGGCAACAGCTATATCGGTAAATCTGTTTTTCCATCTCCTGTGTGGTTGTGAATTGCTCATGCCACGAGTTAATATCTGTTTTGGAGTCGAGTGATAGCGGCTCGATTTTTCTTCCTTTTCTTCTTTGTTTCCTCTCTCGTATGCCCTTGTTATTCTTGAAGAATCAGATGTCTGATGTAAGTTTACCTTATATAAAAAAAGATATCTGATGGAAGTTTATCTTGTAATATTTCAGGTATCTCCTATGTACAGTAGGATCTGTTTACATCAAATCAAAAGAGGCTCCTGCTAAGGATATTCTCAAGGATCTTGTTGAAATGTGTCGTGGTGTTCAGCATCCGACACGTGGTCTCTTCTTGAGGAGTTATCTTGCTCAAATTAGCAGAGACAAATTGCCAGACTTAGGTTCTGAGTATGAAGGGTAAATCTGTTGATTACTCAAACTTGGATTGCGTGATGATTAGGTTGCACATCGTATCACGTCAGCTCTGCATAAGTACATCTTTGTTCACTTGCTTGAAACAAACACGCAAGAGCTGCATGCACACACATTGGTTATGTATATTGTTATCTACCTATTTAAGTTTGCGGGTAGAGCCAATGTATTGTAACCATCTCTCTAAGATCCTTGTCTTTTGTTTAATTGAGTATTTTTTTTTTCACATTTCTAGTTTGACCTAGCGGATGATCTTCTGAGATGCTTCACACTGTTCTTTATGCAGAGAAGGTGATACTGTCATGGATGCTGTAGATTTTGTGCTGCAGAACTTCACAGAGATGAATAAACTTTGGGTTAGAATGCAGCATCATGTACGTTGGGATCTTCTGAACTATTGCTTTGCTTTTACTTTTGACATGCATGGCATCTGTGCATTTGCACGGTAGGAAGGTAAAATGAGTCATGAAGGCATGTTTTGGCCATGCAGGTGTTATAGTGCTTGTGATACATTCATTTGCTTTGGTGATCCTGAGTTGAGGTATTCTTCGCGCTTTATGGTCTGCAGGGACCTGTCAGGTTGAAAGAGAAACTGGAAAAAGAAAGGAGCGAGCTTCGTGATCTTGTAATACCAATGTGCTCAATCATTTACATTCTCCTTTCAAGATCCTTATGGCTTGGTTCAGAAATACGATATTCAGCTGTACCTCTTATATTTTAGGTTGGGAAGAATTTGCACGTTCTTAGTCAGATAGAGGGTGTTGATCTTGAAATGTACAAGGATGTGGTTCTGCCCAGAGTTTTGGAGCAGGTAAATTTAACATGATTAAAACTTTTCTCATTTTCTTGTGGCAATTCACTGTAAAGATGTAGCTAAATATTCCTGCAGGTTGTCAATTGTAAGGATGAGATTGCCCAGTATTATCTGATGGACTGCATAATTCAGGTCTTTCCAGATGAGTACCACTTGCAGACACTTGAAACCTTATTGGGTGCTTGTCCGCTACTCCAAGTAAGTCACCAAAAATATACACAACTTCTTTGGCAGGATAAGTTTTTGTGTCCTGTCCTTTGCTACTCCTCTTCATTGCATCTTCATATCCATTCTTCTTGCAAATGTAAACTATATATCTAAAACATATCTCACTAAAGGAAATGAAAAAGGACAAACACAAATAGACAGCATTTCTGTTACATCACTTTCTATCTTTGTCCATCTTAACCTATTTTGACTGCCTTTCAGTTCTTTTACTGTTGTGAAAGAAGAATAAGATTAATACATGGTGTATGCTGGTGGCTCAAACTTGTTTTTAGTTAATGTTTTACAGCTGTTCTTATTTGTCTTACAAGAGCGGGGAAGGGGGAAGGGCTTTTTGTTTTTCTTCCTGCTCTAACCTAAGTGGACAAGATAAGTTCCTCATTCACTAGAATAACTAGAATAACTGTATTACGTTGGAAAGCGGCTTGTAGTTCTCGGCTTAATTTTTCCTTCTCGGAGGAGAATGTGTGCAAATAGAATTAGTTTCTGTGATCTACAAAGTTTAGTGCGTTCTGTAGGTATGGAGCTTAAACTTTTAGGGGTCTTGGTAGTAATTTTAACAGTTTGTTCAAATCTTCTGGTGGTTGATGTTGTAGAAGCATGTGGATGCTTATATATTATTGTTAAATAGTTATATGTAAATAATCCTAGTCCCATATATAGTAGGAGTAGAATATGTATTATATATATGGCTCATTGTATCATTATTAATAAATTTTCAGTGTATTATTTCTCACTTGGTATCAAAGCGTGAGTGAGACACATCCGGGAAATTCAGACAGTCGCCGTGCGTCAATTTCCGGCGTCTTTCTAGGGCAGATTTACGTCAAGCTAATTTCCGTCGGTGTTGTGCAAAAACTAACACTACCACAAGGTCCCCCAACCCTCGGCGACCAAACCCCAACAAATATCTTCGGCAGCAGAGCTCTCATGCGCTCTCACTCGCCCATCGGAGCAGAATTTTTCCGGCGAGATGTGGTCCACGCGCCGACACGTGGGACCTCTTCCAGCCATTTATTGGCCAACTTTCTTTGAGACAGCTTGTTCGCAAGGCTTTTCCGACTCTACCCATTCCAGTTTCATCACATTTCGGCAACTTTTTAAATTTCCGCCGACTATATGCAGATTCCGGCGACTGTTCCAGTTTCCGGTGGCTACGGTGTATTTTTTCTGCTGCTTCTTAACTATTTTTGTGACCTAACACAATTTTGGACCAACTTTGCCACCAATTTTTGTAACTTCGTACTTATTTGATCCAACCATGTCTCTCGGACTTGATGTTTTTGGTTCCAAAAGCAGTGGAGTTGGAAATTCAGCCTTTATGATTACTTCTGAACCCCTACCTGGAAGTTCAAATTATTTATCTTGGGCTTCCTCTGTGGAGTTGTGGTGTAAAGGTCAAGGTGTTCAAGATCACTTAACCAAAAAGGCTAGCGAGGGAGATGAAAAGGCCAAAGCACAGTGGGAAAAGATCTATGATCAATTATGTAGTATCTTGTGGCGATCTATTGATTCCAAGTTGATGCCTTTGTTTCATCCATTCCAGGCATGCCATTTAGTTTGGGAAAAGGCTCGTACTTTATACACTAATGACATATCTCGTTTCTATGATGTGATATCGTGGATGACAAATTTGAAGAAACATGAATTGGATATATCGACTTACTTGGGACAAGTACAAGCAATCATGGAGGAATTTGAGAAGTTGATGTCAGTCTTTGCTAGTGTTGAAAAGCAACAAGAGCAACGACAAAAGATGTTTCTAGTTCTTACACTCACTGGACTTCCTAATGACCTTGATTCAGTGTGTGACCAGATTTTGGTTAGCCCGACTGTCCCTACAGTTGATGAACTATTCTCTCGATTACTTCGCCTTGTTGCAGTGCTTAGTCACATAGTGATCTCATCGCAGACAGTTGACTCCTCTGTTCTCGCATCCCAGACAGTGGAAAATTGGGTATCTCAGACTATGGAGAATAGACGAGGTGGAGGTCGTTTTGGAAGGTCTCGACCCAAGTGTTCTTATTCTAGTAGGCTTAGACACACCCGTGAGGTGTGTTACTCTTTGCATGGTCGACCACCTAAAAATGCTCATGTTGCTCAAATAGAGATTGCAGGTAGCCAGAAGTTTTCTTTATCTGAAGGGGAATATAATGAGTTCCTTCAGTATCGAGCAAGTAAGCAGACACCTCCACAAGTAGCCTCAGTTGCTCAGACCAATACTCCTATTGCTGATAATTCCTTTGCTTGTGTTTCCCAGTCTACTACTCTTGGACCGTGGGTCATGGACTCAGGCGCCTCTGATCATAGTGTTACTTTAGCTAATGGACTCCAAACAAAAGCAAAAGGAGTTGGACAAGCTAATCCCTTATTCTCTGTCACTTTAGATTATGTTCTTAATGTCCCTGGTTGTCTTTTTAATCTTGCATCGGTTAGTCAGTTGACTCGTGCCCTCCATTGTGGTATATACTTTATTGATGACTCTTTTGTTATGCAGGATCGCAGTACGGGACAGATGATTGGCACAAGGCGTGAATCACTAGGCCTTTACTACCTTGACTCACTCAATCCTTCCACAACATGTCTAGTTACAGATTCTCCCGACCTAATTCACAGACGTTTATCCAAGTTTATCGAAGCTTCAAAAGATGGTGCCTAGTTTGTCTACATTAGATTGTGAGTCGTGTCAACTTGGGAAACATACCCGAGCCACTTTTTCACGTAATATTGAGAGTCGTGTAGAGTGTTTTTTCTTTAGTTTATTCTGATATATGGGGTCCTAGTAGAGTCAGTTCAACCTTAGGATTTCATTGTTATCTGATTAATCAGATGCCTTCATCTTCCATCCCTAGTCAGATTTTGTATTCAGTCTTGTTTCCTCAGTCACCCCTATACTCTCTTCCCGCTCGTGTGTTTGGGAGCATCTGTTTCGTTCATAACTTAGCTTCTGGAAAAGATAAGTTAGCTCCCGTGCTCTCAAGTGTGTCTTCCTTGGTTATTCTTGAGTTTAAAAGAGATATCGTTGCTACTCACCTGATCTTCGTAGGTACCTTATGACAGTCGGTGTCACATTTTTTTAGTCTTGAACTTACTTTACTTCTTCTGATCACCTTGATATATCAGAGGTCTTACGTATACCGACTCTTGAGGAGTTTACTATAATTCCTACATCTTCCGCCACAGAAGTCTTACCCATACCGACCATTGAGGAATTTAGTGTCGCTCCTCGTAGATCCCCCAGCTAGAGGAACACCACTTTTGACTTATCATCGGCGTCCGCGTCCAGCATCAGGCCCAGCTAATTCACGTCCTGCACCTGACCCTACTCCTACTGCGGACTTGTCTCCTCTTAGTCAACCGATTACACGTCGGAAAGGTATACGGGCCACACTTAATCCTAATCCTCATTATGTTGGTTTAAGTAATCATCGTCTATCATCACCCCATTATGCGTTTGTATCTTCTTTGTCCTCTGTTTCCATCCCTAAGTCTACTTGTAAAGCACTGTCTCATTCAGGATGGCGACATACTATGATTGATGAAATGTCTGCTTTACATTTGAGTGGTACTTGGGAGCTTGTTCCTCCTCCTTCAGGTACTATCTACTGTTGGTTGTCGTTGGGTTTATGTAGTCAAAGTTGGTCCGGATGGCCAGGTTGATCGACTTAAGGCCCGTCTTATTGCCAAAAGACATACTCAGATATTTGGGCTCGACTATAGTGATACTTTCTCTCCCGTGGCTAAAATAGCATCAGTCCGCATTTTTCTATCCATGGCTGCTATTCGCCATTGACCTCTCTATCAGTTGGACATTTAAAATGTTTTTCTTCACGGTGATCTTGAGGATGAAGTTTATATAGAGCAACCACCTGGTTTTGTTTCTTAGAGGGAGTCTAGTGGCCTCGTATGTCGCTTGAGCCAGTCACTTTATGGTCTAAAGTAGTCTCCTCGAGCATGGTTTGGTAAGTTCAGCATAGTTATCCAGGAGTTTAGCATGACTCATAGTGAAGCTGATCACTCTGTGTTTTATCGGCATTCTGCTTCAAATCTCTATATTTATCTGGTGGTTTATGTTGACGATATTGTTATTACCGGCAATGATTAAGATGGTATTACTTAGTTGAAGCAACATCTCTTTCAACACTTTCAGACTAAGGATCTAGACAGATTAAAGTATTTTCTAGGTATTGAGGTCGCTCAGTCTAGCTTAGGTATTGTGATCTCACAACGAAAGTATGCCTTAGACATTCTTGAGCAGACAGGAATGACAGGCTGTAGACCTGTTGACACTCCGATGGATCCGACTTCTAAACTTCTGCCAGGACAGGGGGAGCCGCTTAGCGACCCTGCAAGATATAGGCGGCTGGTTGGTGAATTAAATTACCTCACTGTGACTAGACCTGGCATTTCTTTTCCTGTGAGTGTTGTAAGTCAGTTTATGGATTCTCTCTGTGATTGTCATTGGGATGCAGTCGTCCGCATTCTTCGGTATGTAAAGTCAGCTCCAGGCAAATAGTTATTGTTTGAGGATCAAGGCCATGAGCAGATCGTTGGGTACTTAGATGCCGATTGAGTAGGATCGCCTTCTGATAGACATTCTACGTCTGGATATTGTGTTTTGGTAGGAGGTAATTTGGTGTCTTGGAAGAGCAAGAAACAAAATGTGGTTGCTCGGTCTAGTGCAGAAGCAGAATATCGAGCAATGGCTATGGCAACATGTGAACTAGTTTGGATCAAACAGTTTCTCAAGGAGTTGAAATTTGGTGAAATCAGCCAGATGTAACTTGTGTGTGATAATTAAGCTGCCTTTCATATTGCGTCAAATCCGGTGTTTTATGAGAGAACTAAACACATTGTGATTCACTGTCACTTCGTCGGAGAAAAGATACTATTAGGAGACATTGTTACAAAGTTTGTGAAGTCAGCTTGCAGATATTTTCACCAGGTCCCTCATTGGTCCTCGTATTAGTTACATATGTAACAAGCTCGGTAAATATGATTTGTATGCTCCGGCTTGAGGGGAGTGTTAAATAGTTATATGTTAATAATCCTAGTCCCATATGTAGGAGTGGAACATGTATTATATATATAGGGCTCACTGGATCATTGTCATCCCCTTGCCCAGACAAGAAGGAAGAAAGAACAATCCACAGCAGATGCATTATATTACTTCGTTAATTTCGATGATAGATTTGAAAATAAAAAGGTCTTTATTTCATTTTTTTCATTTAGCCTGCTGTTGACGTTAAGACTGTGCTGTCACGATTGATGGAGAGATTGTCAAACTATGCTGATTCAAGTCCCGAAGTAAGTAAATAATTGTTTAATGGCTTCTGCCTTGAGATTTTCTTGATTTCTTCTCTTATTTAGGTGTAAGTTTTGATTATTTAGGTGTTACCTGACTTCCTTCAAGTTGAAGCATTTGCCAAGCTAAGCAGTGCCATCGGGAAGGTAAATCTGGATGCTTTAACGTCTGATTTCTGAACAAAGTTGACTACTCTCCAGTTTTGTAGCTTGTAGTTGGATTTTTATTTATAGGCAAACTTCAGTCTGTAGCAGGACCAGGATGTATGATTTAGAACACCTGACATTAGCATCTCAACTAGTTAACAGGTTCCTTAATATGCAGGTCATTGATGCACAAACTGATATGCCAGTTGTTGGAGCCATTTCCTTGTATGTATCTCTACTGACCTTCACTCTCCGTGTTCATCCTGATCGACTAGACTACGTGGATCAAGTACTGGTATGTTCTTGTCAATTTGGTAATCAAAGTTACAAGCCAATATGGAATTTTGGAGGTTATAGCATCGAAACTGCTGTTGTTATTCTCTGAGCTCAATGAAGCCAGTTGCTGCGTAACATTTGGTCACTTTTTTTGGTGAGAGGAGGGTAGTTATTTCCTTGATCAATTTAGTGGTCAGTAGGAACGTTGAACACAGTAGATTAGGAAATCCCAGCAGAGTTGGTAGCTAAAGGGGGGAGAAGTATGGGATGACATTTCTCTGCTTGATTTACTTTCCTGATTGTTGGTAGGGAGCATGTGTCAGGAAACTTTCTAGTAAAGCAAAGCTTGAGGATAGTAAAGCGACAAAACAAGTTGTTGCTCTCCTGAGTGCACCATTGGAGAAATACACTGACATTGTGACAGTTCTAACTCTTTCAAATTATCCACGTGTCATGGATCCCCTTGATGCTGGAACAAATAAGATCATGGCGAAGATAATCATTGAGAGCATCATGAAGAATGACACCTGTGTATCAACTGCTGACAAGGTAATAATCCGCAATGTGTAGTGAGTGATTGATCGCTAGTTCGATTATTTTGGTTCTCTCTTTAATTGATTTACGTCTTTTCCTAGGTTGAGGTTTTGTTTGAATTGATAAAAGGGCTTATCAAGGACTTGGATGGAACTGCTACTGATGAGGTAGACAGATAACATCATCAATTTTGATTACTTCATTGTCTGAATTTGTTATACTTTATTCCGACTCCTATTGATGATTTCCATTTCCTTTTGACTTTTACTCAGTACTTATACATGTGAGTTTTTCCGGATAGTTTCTACCAGTGGAATGACTTCTTTTCCTGTTTGTTGTGGTTTTGGCCAAAAGCTCGATGAGGAGGATTTCAAGGAGGAACAGAATTCTGTTGCTCGTCTTATAC